TCTGACTTTTACGTAACAAGGCCCATAACTGCCGCCATTTATTGAGGGTTCAGTGTGCCAGGGCCCCCTTTCAGTGTGTCCTGATTGTTAACCTCACTGACTCCTCCAGCAGGGCATGAATATGGTGACCCCCCCCCCCCCCCGTTATGGATGAAGAAACTGAGGTGCACAGGTTAGGTTCTCACCCCATGTTGGTCATATCACAGTGCCTGGGACTAGATGTCTGGGGTCATCCCCACAGCCCCCCTGTGGTCTCCAGGGAGACCAGAGGAGGACCTACTGCGATAAGTGTCATCACCGCCACCGTCTCAGGAGCTGGTTTCGGGGCCGTCCTGCCTGCCTGCCTGCCGCCACTCAGTGGGGTTGTGGCCTCTGCGCCTTCCCCTTGCTTCTTGCCGGTTCCAGTGCTTTGCCTTTGCTGAGGAACCGCAGCTGTGCCTTGCATGCAGACGCCCCCGGCTGTCTTCACTGCTGATTAGGTCCTTCAGAGCACTAAGTTCTGGTTAATCTATTTTTTGTTTTGTTTTGTTTTTGTCATTTGTGCTTTTGGTCACGTATCAAGAAACCATTGGCCAATCCAGGGGCACACAGGTTAAGTCTTGTGTTTTCTTAGAATAACTTGTAACTCTTATGTTTAGATCTGTGAATCGTTTTGAGTTTGTTTGGTTTGTGGTGTGAGGTAGGGGTCCAACTTCATACTTTTGCACATGGAAATTCACTTTTACCAGCACAACTGAGGAAAAGACTGGCCTTTCTTTTACTAAAAAGTGGTCAGACTTTAAGATCGGGGGTTTATTCCTGGACTGTCAGTTCTTGAGTTGATCTCAGTGTCTCCTCTTATGCCAGTGCTGGGTGGACTGGATTGCTGAGGTTCTGCTGTGCTGAGTTATTTTATATTTAATCTTGAAGGTGAACATAAAGGAAACATGATGTGGTCCTCACACTTCTATGTAAGGACCCAAATTAGCCGCTTGGACCAGATCTTGCGTGGCTGGGTCTAGACGACCGAGGGTGCCTTCCACTCCCCGGTCAGGCTTCCCAGCAGCTGCAGTCGGGTTTCGCGCCAGGAAGGCTTTGGAGAGACCATGTAAGTAAGAGCTCACTTCTCAGTGTGAAGGTTGGGGGGAAGTACCAGCTTTTTTGTTCTTTCAAATGGGAAGCATCTGAAACTGTGTTCAGCAGGTTTGGTCTTTAATCTAGCCTGAAACTGGACTGGTGTGGCTTCAGTTTTCTTTTCTTTCTTATCAATTTGGATCTTTTTACAACCAAACTCTCTTCTAGTTAAAAAACCTGCTGTGCAGTGAGCTTCAGAGGATGAAGGTAGATGCTTTTTTTTTGGAAATAATTTTAGAAGTATTGAAATGTTGCAAAAGGCAGTACAAAGTGTCCCTTGCTGTTAACACCTGGCATAATTGCAGAAGTAAGGAAGGATCATGGTGCAATAAAATATTTATTAAACTCTAGGTTTTATTAGGATTATACCAGTTGTTCCATGAATGTCCCTCTTCTGCCCCAGACCTTGCTGGGACTCACGGTGCGTTAGTTCTCTTGTCTCATAGGCTTCCGCGCCCGTGATGGTCCCTGGACTGTCATGCCCTGACGCTGCGTGAGGGCTGTGGGGCGTGGGCTGTCCCTCAGCCTGACTGTTGTTTCCTCGTGATCAGACAGACCAACATCGTGCATTTTGGGAGGCTGTCCCAGGGGATGTCGAGGGGCGCACGCCCCCCTGCCCCGCAGCTTACTGGTCTCTTCTTGCTGGCACTGTGGCCACCAGGAGTCCTCTGCAAAGGGGCTGTTTTCCCCTTTGGGGCTTTGAAACTATACAGATGCCTTGTTTCTCCTCAAACCTTTGCATGTTAATGTGCCTCTTCCTGGCAGTGATTGTCATTGTGGGATTTCTGTGGTGATAATGTGTTGCTCTCCATTTGTGAATTAGATTTCTTGTGTAGAAGTGAGCTGTCTCTTCCCCCCATTTATGCTCCATTTAAAATTTTCTACCAGGAGAGACCCGCATGTATGTATTTACCCTGTAGCTATAACTGCATGCTGTCGCTATTTAGTTGGTGGCCCAAGCTGTCTGCCTTTGTCATTAGGTGCTGTGTCCGCTGGCTCTCAGGGCTCCTGCTCACCCCCCTCCTCTGCTGAGCGTTGCCTTGGTCCCTGCTTCCTCGAGACGCTCCAGGCTTGTCTTGCGTATTCCCTGCCCTGGCCCTGGAGTTGACCACCTCTCCTAGGAGTCCTGGTTCTTTGACTTGGGAAACGATATGTAAGCACAGTGGCGTGGGTGCCGGATCTGCTTGGTGCTGGAGGTGGCCTTCCCTCTTGGCTGTTCGCTGACAACATGTGCTTATTTCTTTATCTTTCCAGCTGTTTCTGCCCTTTCCCAAAACCTACAAGCTCATACGGATCAGACGGTCAGGTGGTAGTATTCAAGTCAGTGTTCCTTCTAATGCCTTGGTGGCTTCTGTAAGGGCATCAGGAGTCCCTTGCAGACTTGGCTGGGACTCAGGAGACACCAGGCCCCCTTTAAGGGCTGCCTGGGGCTTGGGACCAGGGGAGGACTAGATAGTCAGACATGAGTCCTCCTGGGCCAGGTAACTGCACATACAGGTGAGGCGGTCTTCCTTTCTGCCCTTGAGGACACCTCCCAAGTCTCTGTCTCTCATACGAGGGTCCCAGCTCCAGGTTAGACCCAGCCCTTTGAACCCATTCCAAAGGCAGCAGAGAGTAGATGGAACCAGGGGTCAGGTCTGCCTCTCCCCGGGCCCCCACCTGGGTGAGGTAAAGCCCGCGCTCTCCCCAGAGATGCCACAAGCTGATGGCAGTGGCATCTAGGTATAGCCGTTTCTTTCCTGTTTCCTGCTTTACCTTCCCCCAGCGCCTCCCGCCTGCCCTTTGCTGAGCAGTGGGAGGGTGGAGCACTGTGCCTGCTGCTTCCGTGCGCACCTGGTGCTTGGTGGGCGCTTCGAATGATGGTGCCATCTGACAGCCAGCTAAGCTGTTAGAGGAGAAATGGGCAGACTCTGCTTTTCGGGGCGCTGATGGCTGGTGCCTTTGGTCACACCGCGGCCTCTTACCTTGCTGAAACCAGACTCCCCGCCTGAGTTCTATTCTTAGTGCCCCAGATTCCCCAGGACCTACGGTGAGGTCAGTGGCCCGGTTGGACCAGTCAGGGCAGCAGGAGGCAGCAAACCTGGCCAGCCTGGGTCCTTTTGTGTTGCTTTTCTTTTAAAAAATTACTTAGACTTGATTTTTAAGAGTTGGGTTTACAGAAAAATTAAAGATATTGTCCTCCCCACCCCTTTTCCCTATTAGGATCAACATCCTAGGTGGGACATCTGTCGCAGTTGGTGACCAGTCCAGATGTATATTTATTTACCAAACCCTTGGGCTTACTCAGGCTCCCAGACTCCTTTTCCCATAACGCCCTCCTCTGCCGTGAACCCCATGCAGAACTCCATGTGACGTTTAATTGTCACTTCTCCTAAGGCTTCTCTTGGCTTGGGCAGTTTTCAGACTTGCTTCATTTTTACGCCCTTGGCAGTTGTAGGCAGTGCACAGCCTACAGAGTGAAGAGACCCTTCACTTGCTCCGTGATCAGGAAAATGCACATCAGACCCTATCAGTTTCCCTTGCTGCAGAGACCTATGACCTCGCACTTAGTGATGTTAATCAATGCAGGTGGATTGTCTCACAGAGTCCAGCGTGGTCTCACTGGGCTAAAGCTGAGCTCCAAGCAAGCAGGCCTTTCGTTCCTTTGGAGGTTACAGGGGAGAACCTGTTTTTTCCATGGCAGCTTCTAGTGGTGCCTGTGCCCTTGGCTTGTGGCCCCTTCCTTAGTCCTCGGTGCCTAAGACTCTGGCTGTCTCTCTTGTCCTCTTTAAAGACCCTTGGGCTGTTCCTCTCTGCCACCGTAACCCACCACCATCCCCCATTTCAAGAGCCTTCTCTTCAGTCCTTTGCAAAATCCCATTGCCATAGAGAGGAGCAGAATCACAGGTTCTGGGGTTTAGCATGGGTGTGTACCTGGGTGCTTTATTGTGCCAACCACAGCTACAGGAAGAGTCCAGAGTAACGAGACCTTTGGCAGCAGCTCCTGCTGCTGTCAGGTGCACAGGTATGCAATGCAGAGGCTTTGGCAGGCAGGTAGGTGGGAGCCTGAGGACCCTGGGGGCATCAGCAACCCTTTACCCTCCAGAGGAGGAGTGTGGCCCCGTTGTTCCAGCTTGGTGTGCTCACTCTATCTAGGGGTTGCAACCTTTTAAAAGACAGTAAAATCAGTTTAATGAGTTTTATGCCTAGTAATTTCTTTCTTTTTTTTTTTAAGATTTATTTATTTATACATACAAAAACAGACCAGAGGTGTGTGTGTGGGGAGGGTGTAAGAGGACTTACCAGAGACACAGTGGGGAGCAGAACAGGCAGATTGATTGAGACAGACTACTGAGGGAGCAGCAGGCAGAACGGTTAGCTCCCGGATCGGGGGTCAAGCTTGTCCTGCAAAGTATGCCTAGTAATTTTTAAAAAAAGAGATGAAAATAAGATTGAACATGCCAGTGTGCCTTGTGTAGCGTAAGGATAGCCGTGAAACTTGTGCTATTTTAAACTCCTGGCCGTGACAGTGTCTATACACCTGTCCTCCTGGGAAGGGGTACTTTCTCCAGCTGTGGGGGTTTGAAGAAAGAAGAACATTGTTTTTTCTTAATTTTTGCAGGAGCTTCTTTAGTTATAGAGCCGCTTGAGTCTTCAGCTGGTTTTGAGGAGCTGAGTTTGAAATGGGCGGTCATTTGAAGACTTTAATTGAAAAGTTTCTATGGGTATGGATTTTCATGTTCTTGCAATGACAAAGATTTGGAAATATCTGAGTGAAGGCGTGCATCATTGGGGTATAGGCAACTGCCAGGAGTGAAATTTGGAATAAAGACTTAGGCACACAGTCAGTTTAGTTAATCATGCTGTTACTTTTCTCATTTTAGGAACCATTATAGTTGCTGGAGACTGAGAGGGACACTTGTCAGTGAGCCGAGCAGCTCTCATCGTGGTCTCCACTGTCCAGTACCTACTGCAACTGCGAGGTAAGTGCACGGGCCTCTAGCCCCAAGTAGCCACACATGAGACTAAGTCAGTGAGGCTAACACCTCCTCCAGGGCTGCCTAAGGGACCTTTGGGCACCCATGCTTGTGGGAGAAACTACCTCTTAATTATTGCTGAGTTCCTGGGGTGTTCAGGGTCCAGATACCTTTAGACAAAGAGTCTGGACCCCTTTGGAGATACTCTTCTCTAATCCACATTTGTACTTTGCTTGTGTGCCTCTGAATGCCCACCTCTCACCTCTAGAAGCCCTGAGAGCCACTGTGCCTCTTGGATGATGCTGGGATTGTGCTGCCCTGTCTGTGTTGTGTGGTCAGGTCCTGGGTAGGAGGATATCATTTCTGAGCTCCTTGACAGGCATAATCACCCTACCCTGCGCTCTGCTGGAGAGGGTGACCAGTCACAGTTGGGAGGTGAGTGTCTCTAAAAGTGAAAGATTATTTTAAAATGCCTTGAAAATAATTCCATTTGCCTAGTTGCATCTGGGGTCAACTCTGGGGTGTCTTGTTTCTCCTGTACTTTCCTAATGAACCAGGAAAGAGACAGAGGGATTTTAGAATTGGCCTCTGATTGTGACCCAAGGTGGGTAAGAAGAGAGTAAGTAGCTTCATTATCTCCCAACTCATACCTGTGTGACAGGGTAACCCAGGATGGAAGCCTTTTAGTATAAGATGAAAAGTCCAGAGTGTACGTGGCCATTCCGTGTTGGCTGTTCCTGGTGGCCCAAGGAAGGCCACCTTATGTTCAGTGTTGGTTTCAGATGAAGACTCTTGTTCAAGGTCACATAGCTAGTTAGGGCCAAGTATGGACTAGAACATGGCCTTTTCTGTCATGATTTAGGAAAGCAAAGAGATGGGTAATGGAGTTTAGGTTCCCCTTCAGGAGGGATCAAGGAAAGATTTTGCAGCTCCTGCAGGCATCTGGTCAGGAGTTGGCAGACAATGGCCTGTAGACCAAGTCTGTCCCACCACTTGCTTTTGTAAATAAAGTTTTATTGGCATAGAGCTAAGTCCATTCATTTATGCATCTTCTCCGGCAGCTAGCTTCTCACCATGGTAGAACTGAGTAGAGTTGATCCTTGAACATGTTGGTGTTGGGGGTGCCAAATCCTTTGGTAGTTAAAATTCCAAGTATAACTTTCGACTCCACGAAAACTTTACTAACAGCTGTTGACTGGAAGCCTTAACAATAACAGACTGTTATGTTATGCGTTAATAGTCTATTAAGACTATTTATATATGCATATATTACTAAACATCATATATCAGATACTATATATGTTATATATAATTATATATTGTGTATATTAAGACTGTATTATATATTGTATTCTCACAGTAAAGTAATCTAGAGAAATGATAATGTTACTAAGAATATTTAAGAGAGAAAGTACATTTACAGCACTGTGCTGCCGGGGCGCCTGCAGGTCGGGAAGGATGAGGGTCAGGCTTGGGCCCGAGCATACAGGGTCCCCTGAAATGACTTTAAGAAATAATGGTCTTATTGTGCTGTAATTGACATGTCGCACTTTCATTAGAGTGTTTGATTCAGAGGTTTTTAGTACAAGTGTCTGCTCTTGGTCCCAGAGTGAGGGTTGGACAGCGAGGCATGCATTTTCCTGTTGGAGACTTTGAGGGCCGGGTTAGACTGAGACAAGGCCAAGGCCCTCACCAAGTGTCTGAGGCCATACTCCTATTAAAAATGACCCCTGACAGTTACTTCAGCTACCTGGGACTTCAGGGTGTCACCCCTTCTTGGCACTGACTGGGGGCTAATTTGGACCCGGGGAGAACTGATAGAAGGGGGCAGGGCCCAGTCCTGCCTGACAGCTGAAGCCTCCCCACCAGGAAAAGAGCTGAGGAATCTGGGGACCCGTCATGTGCCATGGCTAGAGTTCCTAGGGCTGAGAATCTCACTGGGGGTGGGGGGCAAGTACATCGAGCCACACCCCCCCCATACACACCCCCTGGAGCTTTTCAGAAACACATGCTTGATCTCTGGGTGAGCCCCTGCGGCTGCTGTGGAAATGAGCAAATGACCATGAGCACAGTGATTCGAAACAAGCCACGTTTGAAAGCTAGAAAATCATAGTGGAATCTGTACAGATGGTGAAATATAGACCTGTTTACCTGAAACTTAAAATAGACAATCCAAAAGCAGTTCGACTCTTAGGACAAATTGGTGGTCACTAGAGGAGAAGGGTGGTAGTCGGGGGCAAACCAGGTAAAGGGAGACAGTCGTGTGGAGGACGGAAGCCGGCCTTCAGGTAGGGACCGTGGCAGCACGTACGGACGCTGAATAAGGTGTTGTGCCCTGGGGTCTGTGCGCTGTCACCACCAGTGCTGCTTCAGGTTTTAAAAAGCCCACGCTCTGGCGTAGCTCTGGAGGTTGGAAGTCCACAGCGTCCGTATTCAGGGCCAGCACTCAAGTGTGGCAGGGCCAGCTCCTTCTGGAGTCTTCTGGGGGAAATTGGGCGTGATTGGTTTCAGATTCAAGGGGCCACCTGCTTGCCTCAGCCCCGGCCCCTTCTCGACCTGCTCCAACCTCTGCTTTGTCTTCTTGCCTCGTTCTCTGAGCCAGATCCTCCTGCCTCCCAAGCAGGAGGAATCTTGTGTTGACACTGGGCCCCCACCTGCGGGTCCTTAACTTCATCCCCTGGAAAGCCCCCTTGCCATAGCATGGAGGTTATGGGGGACAGGGATTAGTTTGTGGGCCATCTTTGGGAGGACGTACTGTGCTGACCGTGGTCTCTGCCAGCCCAGTTTTTCCCATCCTCCGGTCTGCCCCATCCCACAGCTCCCAGTTATCTCTGCTGCATTTACACGTGCGCACTTGTGGCCAGAGCACCCTACAGAGTGCTGCGGGTGTCACGTTGCTGTCTCCCAGCCCTGTCCTTGACCCCGCCCTCTCAACGTGGCTGCTGTGCGGCCTGGGCGCCGGCTTCCCGCTGGCCTTTCGGAGCCATTCTGCTTCATTGCATGCAGTCATGATGTCTCCTTAGTCGCGCTCTAAACTTTTTTAACTTATATTTTCCTGTCATTTGAGAAGAGTATTACTTTTTTATTTTGCAAGTGCAAAATTTAATGTTTTTCTTCTTATCCCCCCTCCTCATCTGTCTTTTTGGGGAGGCTCACCCGCTGGAAGGCACACACTCCCACAGATTTTGATCAGCGGCGGACCTTGTGCACACGCGTGGCCCCAGGAGGCTGTGGCATTTAGCCCGGTGACAGGCTGTGGCTTAGGCTTGTGTGATTACACTTTCTGATATCTGCACACAAACACTGCCTAGTGATGTCTTTCTTAGACTGTGTCCTTGACAAGAAGTGATCTGTGAGCAAATTTGGAATGCAGTCACCCTGCAGTCAGCTTCAGAGTGTAGCCATGCCCCACGAGGGGCTCCTTGGTCCAGGGTGCACGGTGTGACCCTGTGTCTTCAGCGTACCGCTACGTGGTAGTGAGTGTCACAGGGTTCCCCCGCCTTTTAAAGCGCAGAAATACTCCAGTACATGGAAAACCACCCTGTGGGACCCATTCATTCATTTGTCGGGCTGCTTCTACATTTCAGTCATCGGGAATCACGCTGCTTGAACATTCGTGTTCAAGTTTTTGTGTGGACTTATGTTCTCACGTCTCTTGGGTATCGGTAGAATTGCTGGGTCGTACGGTAGTTACACTCGTGCCTTTTTGAAGATCTGCCAGACTGTTCTCCACTGCAGCAGCACCATGTTCCCCGCCGCCAAAGTGTGAGGGCTCTGACTCCCCGGCCTTGCCACCACTGGTTACTGTCGGGCTTCTTCATTGTAGCCCCCCACGGGTAGGGCGCGTCTCACTGGGGCTTTGATTGGCCTTTTCCTGATGGTGGGTGACTTCGAGTATCTTTCCACGTGCTTGCTGCCCCTCGTGTGTCTTCTTGGAGATGTATCTATTCTTTGCCTGTTTTCACCTGGCCTGTGTATCTTTTCACGTGGAGCCCTGTTATTTTTGTCAGGACACTGTTTTGCAAAGAACATGTCTCTTTCTGGACCTTCCTATGAGCGCCCTCTTGGTAGGCTTCCTCTCGGTCCTCTGTCCCCTGCGTTTCCCCTGAGCCAGTAGGAAGGCTGGCCCGAGGCTGGTTTCAGTCAGATTCCTTTTTTTTAAAAATATGTGCATGTTGGTTTTTATTTGCCCTCCCACAAAAATAGGTCAAAAGTTACGGAGTGCTGTGATCAGAAGTCACTTTCATTCTCGTCTTTATATCAACCAACTAAAAATTCTTTGCCTCAAAAGGTACAAGTGGGAAAGACCCCTTCCCTGCCCCGCATTGCTCCTTGAAGAGCCGAGTCCGGACGGCGTGGGTGGTGGGAGCAGTGTTCTTGCCAGACTGTCGCACAGAAGCTGCCTGCCGTGTTGTCATCTGCCTTGTTCACCTCCTGGACGTAAAGCTCATCTGCTTAGTGTGATTTTTGACGTGAGAAAGAGCTCGCATGGCAGGGCTGGGGGCTGCCTACGCTCTGCCTGGGGCAAGCTGGCCTTGGGGGGGGGGGCGAGAGCCCACCTCACTGTGCGCGCACCCCTGCAGCGCCGAGTAGGTGGGGGCAGGCAGGCAGAGCCTCTGCAGGTTCCATTTGAGGGGTGCTGCTTGTTGGGACTCCCGAGAGCCTGTGGTCTCCTGCAGCCCTCTCACGTGCAGTCTGCGAGAGGCAGCGAGCAGGAGAGACGGCAGGGGTGCTGGCATCATCCCCGCAGGGGAGGCAGCTGACCCTGGCCAGGCATCAGGCTTGTGGCTTCCTGAGTCCTCACTAGTGAACTCTGAAAAGTGGGGTTACTGTGTGGAGTTGACCATTCACCTGCATAAAAAGCATAGAACAGGGTGGGGGGCTGCGTGTTGAAGTGCCCACTGTCTCCACCACCACCAAACCTGAGGGAGGACAGCCTACCTCAGACTGAGGAGCCAGCCTCTGGCCTTTTTCTGGCCATCTAGGCTTGGGGGCCCAGGTGAAGACCGGGAGGAAAGGGGAGGTGGGGACAGCACCTCTGGCGGCAGGTCTGAGGATGGGTCTGGCCTGGCGCACAGATGGGTATGCAGGGAGGCCCTTGGGGGTCCGAGGCTCTGTGCTGGCGGGTGGGGAGTGGGATGGACAAGGATGGGGTGGCTCTAGGGTGGTGAGCAGCTGGTTCCCCTGTCTCCAACTCTCTCCCTGCCTCCCGAGGCTCCTCCACACTGAGTTTTGAAAGATATGAGGGTCTGCTCCCTCAGGACAGTAGCACCCCCACCTGGCACGAGAAACCCGAGTCAGCCTCACGGGCCCATGTCTGGATGGGACGGGAGGGAGCCCGTGGTTGGGACTTGTGTGGATGGCGGCCAGGAATGCAGGTACTGAGCTCTGGCTGTGGACGAGGGGCTGGGCTGGGATCGAATGATGGTTAGTCCCAAGGTCTGGTCAGCGTGGGCAGCCTCCTGCGTGGCCTCTGAGCTCTGTGGTGCCTGCTGCTCCGCAGGAGTGGTGGGGTGGTGTAGGTTGTGATAGCCCAGTTCTGAGTCAGTGTTTCCTTGGTGGTAGCTTCAGATCCCACCCAGAGGGATTGTTACCTGTTGTCATGGGCATTCATGGCCCCAAAAAGACAAGCCTTGGGACTTGCGAGGGCTCAGGGCAGAGGGCCTCAGTGGGGTCCCAGTCCTAGATGTACAGGTGCTCCATGGGTCCGGATTCTCGGGGGCCCTTGCCAGTCATCCCGCCTTGAGTGTGATCCTCAGAGTGAGGCCTTTGCCTTCTACACTACACTGCCGTCCCAGCCCCATCTGCTGCTGGCTGGGGAATGGGTGGTGGAGGTCCTGAGGATGCTGGCGAACACTGGGGCCGCCAGATCTGTGCCGGGAACCGATGACCTCAGCAAATTCCTGGGCATATGCTGCCCCCTAGTGCCTGCCTGGGAGAGTGCCGAGGGCAGCTGTGCTGCGCCCCACCCACTCTCCACGCAAGCATCTCGGCCACCCAGCGCCCCTTCTCAGGGCTGGAGGGGCTCCCCGCCCTGCTTTCTCATAACCCAACCCTCTTTGGGGCTTGGGAAAGGGGCTGAGCTTGCTTAAATTGTCTTTCCAGTTCTCAGGTCTGTACTCACTTGGGCTCTGACCTTTTCTAAATCCTGGAGGAAGTCTGGGCTTTATCTCCAATTTGGAGAATTTAGGTTGTCAGTAGGCACCTTTCCTCAGAGTCTGTTACCAGACCCCTTCCTGCTTGGGGTGGACCCCTGATCCCCAGCAGCAGTGTATCTCAGGGCAAGACTTGGCCGTGTTCGCCCTGCTGCATTGGAACCTCCTGAGTTCTTTAGAGCATCTTGGATTACAGGAAACCAGCCTTCTGGCCAGGCTTCAACTCTCCTACTTCTGGATTCCTGCTTTGGGCTGCTTGGGGGTCATTGGGTTTGGGTTCACCCCTAACAACCAGGTCAGCACTCATGTGACCTGTGCTGCTCACAAGTGCTCCCCGCTTGGAGTAGGGGTCCCTGCTTGGGTCATGTGTGAGAGAAGACGGACTGATCTTCAGAAGCCAGCCCTGTGCTGCTTCCCTCCAGACAACCAGCTCCCTGGGAGATGTGCCGATCGAAGTAGATACCAGTGAGCCTAGACGAGTCCCTGGTCAGAAAAGGTTTCACTTCCGAGGACCCCTTGTTGAAAACGAGCGCTCTGGCTTCCGGCGTCGCATTGGCTTTGGAAGTAGGACACTGCTGTTTTTAATTAGTTGAAGTCATTTTGGTCTTTTGTGCCAGGGCAGAATTCTGCAGGCGGCCCCCAGCTTCCTCTTGCCCTCCTCACTCAGCTGCCGCCCTCTGCCTTTGTCTTCCGGAGGCCCGGGGTACTTGAGTGTCTCCCAGGGAGCAGAGAACCCAAGGGTGGTACTCTGACATGCTCACGCTCTCTTGTCTTCCCTCACAGGTGCCGCCTCCTCTCAGCTGCAGCCATGGGGTCTGAGGATCATGGGGCCCAGAACCCCAGTTGTAAAATCATGACGTTTCGCCCAACCATGGAAGAATTTAAGGACTTCAACAAATATGTGGCCTATATCGAATCCCAGGGAGCCCACCGGGCAGGCCTGGCCAAGGTGGGTGACGTCTGGTCCCAGGCAGCATGGCCGCAGCCTCTCCTCGTGTGTACCCTCCTCTGGATGTTGAGCTGACCTTGAAGACGGGGCAGTGTTTCTCATGTTCCTATGAGCTTGTGTGTGTGGCACGGCTCACCCAGTAATTTGGGAGATGCTGTTTGTTTTGGGTTCTCCTAGTTGTTTTATGTGACTTTCCTTTAAGATACTTAGTCCTTCATCGTTTAAACCGCAGGGTCTGTAAACATCTCACAAAAAGCCAGATAGCCGATCTCTCCAGCCTCCCCTCTGCTCTGCTTTTGCAGACAACCTGTAACGACGTCTTTGCTGTACGCCAGTCTAACTCTATTTAGGGACATAGAAATGTGAGTGTCATAAAATTTCCATTTGAATCAAAACCTTTTTTTTCTCCCCAACCATTTAAAAATAAAACATTCAAAATCCTTGTTAGCTCTTGGGCTGCAGCAGGTGGGGTTCACTTTGCTTGGACATGTTGGCGTTTATATTGCTACAGTGAGCTCTGTGTCCTAGCCAGCCCCACTCTGGTTTTGGAGGATTTTATTGCTGCTAGCAGCTTCTCCCCTGGTTCCTTCATGCCCGGGCTCTCAGCCCAAAGGGAGAAGGCAGCGTGCTGCGGCGCCCTCTCCCTTCTCCCCCGCCCCATTCGTGCTCCCTGTCCGCGTGGCAGTGAGGAGCACGGGGCCTGGTCAACACGCAGGGGCCAGAGCTGGCAGCTCCAGAGGGCTTCGTGCTCACAGTCCCTCCTCAGACTGGTTCTCTGCTGTTTCTCATCAGACTGAGGGCCTGGACGCTCTGTGCCTGGGGTGCTTGCAGGCCCAGAAGCTTCCAGTTGGGACCTTCTGTCTGGCTGATGGACAGATGGGCTGGTGACACGCTCCGGGCACATCATAGATGCCCAGTTGTGGGGAGACTCTGGGTTTTGGTGCCCATTGTGGTGGGTAACAGGGTGGAGGATGACCCTTTCACTACCTGGGAATTTTATTCCTGCGCTTCCTGTCTTTGACCTATTTCCACTCTTCCCAGGGTGCAGTCTGCCTGTCTGCTTTTGGGTTCAAGTCATGTCAGGAACATTGCAGTGAATTAATATTTTAGTCTGCTCTAAGCACCTTGGAGTTCAGTCCATTGCGCTCCCACCCCTTCACCTGCTCCCCCGGCACTGTCCCACCTGTTTGCTGAGCGCTGCCTTCACCCTGGCTGTTCCCACTTCCCTGCTCCCGTGTAGCGTCCGCTGCCTCGTGCGTTGTGGGGATCTGTCCTCTGCCTCTGGCTGCGCCTCCCTCCTCTGTGTCTGTCTCTGCGTCTCTTCCTCTCGTTTGAGTCTTGATATCTCTGCGTGAAGGCTTTAATTTCAGGGGGCCAGGTTTTCACATTTATTTCAGTCAGTGGGAAAATTACATGACTGGAGTTTTGTGAGGCAAATATTTTCAGAGTCTGTTTTCCTCAGTCCTGTTTTGCATATTCCTTTTTCACTTTTACATGACGCTTCACATGCTGTTTGTCTTTGATAGTTGCTTTGGACACGGGAAGCCTTTCTGGATCTGCGTGAGGAGCCAGCAATGTGGGGGCTAGGTAGAGAGGGGTCTGTGTGTGGAGGCAGGGGCCGTTGGAGGGCCTGCTGGCCACTGTCGTTCTCTGGCCTCGCAGGGTGTGTGCCGGTGTGTCTGGTCTGCCGGCGGCTTCCCTGCCACCCTGTGGGGACAGTGGATCCTGGGAGGCCAGCTCCTTAGTCCTGGGCACCCTGCTGCTTTCAAATGGGTCCTTTGGTTCTCGGGGCTGCCAGATGATTTGAAGAAGGGACACACGTCCTTCAGGCCTGAGTGGACGCTGTCGATGTGGTTTTCCTCAGTCTTCCTTGTCTCACGGGTCTTGACTCCCCAGTTGTGCATGTGATCACAATCACTGGGTTTTCTTTGTGTATCAGAGCTGTCCCTGGTACCCACCAGAAGATCTGTGGGACCCGACGGTGTGCTCAGCGGGCCAGTGGCTCTGGGTGGTGGGAGCCCCAAACTGGGCCTTGGTCAGGGGGGTGAAGGCCTGTGCTCAGCCGCTCTTGCATGCACTGGGGTCAGTGCGGAGCCAGGTCCCTGTTCCTGACCAGGGCTGGGTCTCTCAAGCTTCTGTGGAAGTTCTGGGTGGGAGGGAGTGGCAAAGGGGGCAGGCATTGTGGGAGTGGTCACAGTGCTCCGGTGCCCTCTTCAGTGTCCCTGGGAATGGCCCCTGTGGTCACTTGGTCACGTGTTTGTCCCTCCTCCTCCCAGCTGCCAGGCCGGCCACCTGGGAATGGCTTTGGGACCTGTAGTTTCAAGGGGCAGAGCTGGCCCCTCACTTTCTGCCCTCAAGCGGGGTCCCATACCTTTGCTCCAGCTGCTTAGATGCACCCAGCTTTGCCACGTGTCCCTGGACCCTGCCTGGTGTCCCTGTTCCCTTGGGGGATAGGCCTTGCTCCTCCTCCGGTCATGGCTGAAGCTCACCCTCCAGGAATTTAGAGTAAAGATCTATCCAGGGGGTCTCAGCCATTAGGCCCACAGGACTGAGGCGCCTGACTAGATGCAAGGGAAACACGAGGTTGGGAAGCCACAGTGGATTCCTGGGCCCAGCCAGGCACTCCTGGGGGGTGGGGCACGAGGCCCCTCTTATGTGGGTGGGGCCATTAGCAGCCAGATGCTCAGAATACTCAGAGTTCTCTAGGTGACGTCCTTCTGCTGTCCTTAACCTGGAGGGCCTCCTTCAGGTCTCGCTCTTGAGGAGATAGGCTTGAGTTAGTTGCATCTACCCTGAAGGGTTTTACCAGGGGCTACGGGCGATAGACCAGCAGGAGGCTGTCCTCTCACTGAAGCCATTTCAGAGCTGTGGTGTGTCCAGGCAGCGGGGCTGCACACATGTGCAAAGCAGCATGGGATGCGTCTGTGTGCACGTCTGTGGGCTGCAGGTGTCTGTACCACAGGGGTACCTGTGAGGGATGGGAACAAAGTGACCAAGGCGCTCACTTGGGGGGATTTGGAGGTGGTGGGTTTTAGACTCAAATGGGTACAGTCGTGGTCCCTGCTTTCAGCATGGGCTTGGTGCAGAG